TTTGGGTATGTGCATTACTACATACACAAAAAAAATGTATGCACGCATGACTGTAAGTCGCTTTGGATAAAAGCGTCTGCTAAATGGCATATTATGTTATTATTATATTATTATATTATTATTATTATATTATATTATACATTAGTCTATGTAACTAAACCCCTGTCCTTTTCCAAGTGTGTGTTTTCTTCACACTGTTTATTTCTGTTATTGAAACTACACTACCAGGGTGTGTAGTGTTTCAATGTTCTCCCTTGGAGTGTATTAGTGTTTTTGAGACTCAAACCAACCTGTACTACTACCGTGTTTGAGTATGTGTCCGCAGCTATGATTCTGTCAGATTGAGTTGCGCTGTGAGCCCGACTCATGTGAGCCTGAGTTTTTAAGCAGTCAGTCCCCATGCATAATTAATCACAAAGGAATAGCAAACAATAGCCTTGAGTTGTAGTAGGTAGAGCAAGTTGACAGTGTGTTCTTAGTGTTTCTAATACAACACTTACTGCTTAAAGTAGTGCCTCACTCTTTCTCTTCACTGGTACTATTGGTATTTTTTACATGGGGATGTGTGTGTGACGTGTTTGTCCATTTGTCTGATTGTGCCAGTCTCTATCTGTGTGTGTGACTCACCATATCGTGTATGCCAGTGTGTGTATGTTTGTTTGTTTACTATATGGTATACACTGAGTGTACAAAACATTAGGGACACATGCTCTTTCCATGACAGACTGACCAGGTGAATCCAGGTGAAAGCTATGATCCCTTATTGAGGTCACTTGTTAAATCCACTTCAATCCGTATAGATGAAGGGGAGGAGACAGGTTAAAGAAGTATTTTTAAGCCTTGAGACAATTGAGACATGGATTGTGTATGTGTGCCATTCAAAGGGTGACTGGGCAAGACAAAAGATTTACAGTGAGGGAAAAAAAAAATTGATCCCCTGCTGATTTTGTACGTTTGCCCACTGACAAAGACATCATCAGTCTATAATTTTAATGGTAGGTTTATTTGAACAGTGAGAGACACAATAACAACAAAAAAATCCAGAAAAACCCATGTCAAAAATTGTATACATTTATTTGCATTTTAATGAAGGAAATAAGTATTTGACCCCTCTGCAAAACATTACTTAGTACTTGGTGGCAAAACCCTTATTGGCAATCACAGAGGTCAGACGTTTCTTGTAGTTGGCCACCAGGTTTGCACACATCTCAGGAGGGATTTTGTCCCACTCCTCTTTGCAGATCTTCTCCAAGTCATTAAGGTTTCGAGGCTGACGTTTGGCAACTCGAACCTTCAGCTCCCTCCACAGATTCTCTATGGGATTCAGGTCTGGAGACTGGCTAGGCCACTCCAGGACCTTAATGTGCTTCTTCTTGAGCCACTCCTTTGTTGCCTTGGCCGTGTGTTTTGTCATGCTGGAATACCCATCCTAGACCCATTTTCAATGCCCTGGCTGAGGGAAGGAGGTTCTCACCCAAGATTTGACGGTACATGGCCCCGTCCATCGTCCCTTTGAGGCGGTGAAGTTGTCCTGTCCTTTTAGCAGAAAAACACCCCCAAAGCATAATGTTTCCACCTCCATGTTTGACGGTGGGGATGGTGTTCTTAGGGTCATAGGCAGCATTCCTCCTCCTCAAAACACGGCGAGTTGAGTTGATGCCAAAGAGCTCCATTTTGGTCTCATCTGACCACAACACTTTCACCCAGTCCTCCTCTGAATCATTCAGATGTTCATTGGCAAACTTCAGACGGGCCTGTATATGTGCTTTCTTGAGCAGAGGGACCTTGCAGGCGCTGCAGGATTTCAGTCCTTCATGGCGTAGTGTGTTACCAATTGTTTTCTTGGTGACTATGGTCCCAGCTGCCTTGAGATCATTGACAAGATCCTCCCGTGTAGTTCTGGGCTGATTCCTCACCGTTCTCATGATCATTGCAACTCCACGAGGTGAGATCTTGCATGGAGCCCCAGGCCGAGGGAGATTGACAGTTCTTTTGTGTTTCTTCCATTTGCGAATAATCACACCAACTGTTGTCACCTTCTCACCAAGCTGCTTGGCGATGGTCTTATAGCCCATTCCAGCCTTGTGTAGGTCTACAATCTTTGGTCTTGGCCATGGTGGAGAGTTTGGAATCTGATTGATTGCTTCTGTGGACAGGTGTCTTTTATACAGGTAACAAGCTGAGATTAGGAGCAGTGTGCTCATAATCTCAGCTCGTTACCTGTATAAAAGACACCTGGGAGCCAGAAATCTTTCTGATTGAGAGGGGGTCAAATACTTATTTCCCTCATTAAAATGCAAATCAATTTATAACATTTTTGACATGCGTTTTTCTGGATTTTTTTGTTGTTATACTGTCTCTCACTGTTCAAATAAACCTACCATTAAAATTATAGACTGATAATTTCTTTGTCAGTGGGCAAACGTACAAAATCAGCAGGGGATCAAATACTTTTTTCCCTCACTGTAAGTGCCTTTGAACGGGGTATGGTAGTAGGTGCCAGGCACACTGGTTTGAGTGTGTCAAGAACTGCAACGCTGCTGGGTTTTTCACGCTCAACAGTTTCCCGTGTGTATCAAGAATGGTCCACCATCCAAAGGACATCCAGCCAATTTGACACAACTGTGGGAAGCATTGGAGTCGAAATGGGCCAGCATCCCTTTGAAACGCTTTCGACTCCTTGTAGAGTCCATGCTCCAATGAAATGAGGCTGTTCTGAGGGCCAAAGGGGGTCCAACAAAATATTAGGAATGGTTTGTACACTCAGTGTATATGTTCCTGTGTCTAAAGCTCTTTCCATTACGGTAATCTGTTAAATTATTGTACTGTAATCTGTTGAGGCACTTCTGTGTATAGACCGCTGCCTTTTACTGAGATGAGAGTAGGTGGAGATGGGTACACCACACACACACACACACACAAACACGGCAATGTATGCTTGCACACACTATACAAATATACAAACACACACACACGTACTCAGATGATTTCTATCCGATGGCTTTCTGTTTTTTACCAGTCCATTTCACTCTATTGTCTCATCATTGAGTTGCTGCCTGTGGTTGTAATTGAACAGGCTGTGTGCAGCCCTCATTATCTGCCAGTAAGACACAGACCAATATGAATAATGTATCCTTCCTTTGTTTCTAAAGAGGAGAGATCAAATAAAGAAGGGCGGGATACTCAGAAAGACGAGGTCGGCCCTGGCTTTGATCCTCACCTCAAAACGACTTCAATACTGGTCCCACTGAAAAGTGAGACTAAGGGGCACACAGGGTGTGTGTGGGTGGGTGTGTTCTCGTACACTTTATATACAAAAGTATGTGGACACCCCTTCAAATTAGTGGATTCGGCTATTTCAGCCACACCCGTTGCTGACAGGTGTATAACATTGAGCACACCGCCATGCAATCTCCATAGACAAACATTGGCAGTAGAATGGCCTTACTGAAGAGCTCAGTGACTTTCTAGGAGCAACAACGGCTCAGAAGGGGTAGGCCACACAAGCTCACAGAATGGGACCGTTGAGTACTGAAGCGCGTAGCGCATAAAAATAGTCGGTCCTCGGTTGCAACACTCACTACCGAGTTCCAAACTGCCTCTGGAATCAACGTCAGCACAATAACTGTTAGTCGGGAGCTTCATGAAATGAGTTTCCATTGTCAAGCAGCCGCACACAAGCCTACGCTCACCATGCGCAATGCCTGCACAGAGCACTGACCTCAACCTCATCGAACACCTTTGGGATGAATTGGAATGGCAGCTGTGAGCCAGGGCTAATCCCCCAACATCAGTGCCCAACCTCACTAATGCTCTTGTGGCTGAATGGAAGCAAGTCCCCACAGCAATGTTCCAACATCTAGTGGAAAGCCTTCCCAGAAGAGTGGAGGCTGTTATAGCAGCAAAGGGGGGACCAACTCCATATTAATGCCCATGATTTTGGAATGAGATGTTCGACGAGCAGGTGTCCACATACTTTTGGTCATGCAGCAGGCGGCAGGTAGCCTAGAGGTTAAGAGCGTTGGGCCAGTAACCAAAAGGTTGCTGGTTCAAATCCCCGAGCCGACAAGGTGAAAAATCTGTCGATGTGCCCTTGAGCAAGGCACTTAACCCTAATTGCTCCTGTAAGACACTCATTTCTTAAATAAATGTTGTGTATGTGTTTGATAGAAAGGAAGAGTATTTGTGAGGGGGTTAGGTGACGAGGTCTTGGAAGAGATTAGAAGTGAAAGAATGAGGAGACAGAAATTCAGAATTGACATGGATCGACATGGGAGAGTGAAATAGAGGTTTAGAAAGAAAGAGAATTGCACATATTGAAACATGGCTCAACTGATGGACTTAAAATACATGGCAATGAAAATAAAATTAATGTCTACTGACTATTTGCTGCTCAACAAAATATTGATTGTGGGAATGATGTAAGGCTTCAACCATAATGGTCTTTGACTGACAATGAGCTGCATGTAAGTGTTCCTTTAGTGGTTTGAGTGGCAGCTAATTTTGCCTTACCTCGTTAATGACTTCTTAATTATAGCTTGACGAGTGGGCGGAGCTTTCGGAGCATCACTGGGAAGAAGGCACATTTCTCTGGTCACTTCAGGTTATGTGGTCAAGGAAGTATTTCTCATAGAATGTCTTATAGAATGTGGAAATATATTTTTACAGTGTTCATGGTCAGTGTTCCAACAATACATGTACTGGATATTATTGAGTCAGAAACAAAAGTTCTGAGCAGGGCAGAGTCTGAGGCTGAGAGGGAGAGAATATCTCCACCCACCCTCCAGCCATCAATAAATACAAAGATGTATCTTCTTCCAGATCTGTATGGAGACCAACTCCACTCACTGCTAACATCATATAACTTTTATGACTTCGATGAAGTCGTCCCAGACAGAACTTTGATAAATACATTTAATTATTGATTTTCTTCTTTCCCTTTCACCCTCTTTTTTTCCCCTCTGTCTGTCCTTTCCCCTTCTCTCTTTTTCTCACTAGCACCCTCTCTGGTGAGTGAGTTGCGTGCGGAGAAGATTGAGCAGCGAAGCCTCACCCTGGTGTGGAGGGAGCCTAGCTACCCCAACAGCAGCCGCACCGAGTACGAGATCAAGTACTACGAAAAGGTAAATAAATAAGCTTTTAACTCGGTCATTCCGTCATATACGGACCACCCCATCACATTTCAACTGTCAACTCCGTCACATTTGGTCAACTCCGTCACATACGACTCTTGAAAAACTCCACTCCGTCACACTTGCAACTCCATCGCGTTAATCTCAAGTCCACTCTTTCACGCATTCAACTACTCTACTCCGTCGCACTCCCTCTCAACTAAACTCGGTCACACTCTCAACTTATCTCTTGGCGCACTCCCTCTTTCAAGTCTTCTCTCTTTCTGTTACGTTCTTGCCATCACATTATCTCCCTCATTCACATCCCATCCATCTCTCAATTCCACCATGTCCACTATCAATGGTCTCCACAGGGACTGTCATTACGCCTGTCAATTGATCTCTGTGTGCGCTCTCTCTTTTCACTCTTCTCTTCTCTCCACACGTATGACAGCATTAAAGCGCACCTCCAAATCCTCATTACCGCACGATGACAAGCAAACAGGGGCACACACACTCTCACACACATTCAAAGACACACATGCAAATCATAGAGCTTTGGCTACCTTAAAGCTTTATGTTGGATATTGGTGAGTTTTGTCTTCATATGTTGCTTTGATGCTGAAGGTTTAGCAGTGAGATGCCACGCGTTAACCTTTAGAATCAAAGCCATTTTAAAGTCTGCTTTAAAATAAAGCCTATGTAAAAAATATATATATATACACTACCAGTCAAAAGTTTTAGAACACCTACTAATTCAAGGGTTTTTCTTTATTTTTACTATTTTCTACATTGTAGAATAATAGTGAAGACATCAAAACTATGAAATAACACATATGAAATCATGTATTAACCAAAATAGCCACCCTTTGCCTTGATGACAGCTTTGCACACTCTTGGCATTCTCTCAACCAGCTTCACCTGGAATGCTTTTCCAACAGTCTTGAAGGAGTTCCCACATATGCTGAGCACTTGTTGGCTGCTTTTCCTTCACTCTGTGGTCCGACTCATCCCAAACCATCTCAATTTGGTTAAGGTCGGGGGATTGTGGAGGCCAGGTCATCTGATGCAGCACTCCATCACTCTCCTTCTTGGTAAAATAGCCCTTACACAGCCTGGAGGTGTGTTGAGTCATTGTCCTGTTGAAAAACAAATGATAGTCCCACTAAGCCCAAACCAGATGGGATGGCGTATCGCTGCAGAATGCTGTGGTAGCCATGCTGGTTAAGTGTGCCTTGAATTCTAAATAAATCACAGACAGTGTCACCAGCAAAGCACCCCCACACCATAACACCTCATCCTCCATGCTTTACGGTGGGAAATGCACATGCTGAGATCATCCGTTCATCCACACCACATCTCACAAAGACACGGAGGTTGGAACCAAAAATCTCCAATTTGGACTCCAGACCAAAGGACACATTTCCACCGGTCTAATGTCCAATGCTTGTATTTCTTGGCCCAAGCAAGTCTCTTCTTCTTATTGGTGTGCTTTAGTAGTGGTTTCTTTGCAGCAATTCGACCATGAAGGCCTGATTCACACAGTCTCCTCTGAACAGTTGATGTTGAGGTGTCTGTTACTTGAACTCTGTGAAGCATTTATTTGGGCTGCAATTTCTGAGGCTGGTAACTCTAATGAACTTATCCTCTGCAGCAGAGGTAACTCTGGGTCTTCCATTCCTGTGGCGGTCCTCATGAGTGCCAGTTTCATCATAGTGCTTGATGGTTTTTACGACTGCACTTTAAGACATTTTCAAAGTTCTTGAAATGTTCCGTATTGACTGACCTTCATGTCTTAAAGTAATGATGGACTGTCGATTCTCTTTGCTTATTTGAGCTGTTCTTGCCAAAAGACTTGGTCTTTTACCAAATAGGACTATCTTCTGTATACCCCCACTACATTGTCACAAACCAACTGAAAGGAAAGAAATTCCACAAATTAACTTTTAAGAAGGCACACCTGTTAATTCAAATCAAAATCAAATCCAATTTTATTTGTCACATACACGTGTTTAGCAGATGTTATAGCGGGTGTAGCGAAATGCTTGTGCTTCTAGCTCCGACAGTGCAGTAATATCTAACAATTTCACAACATACAGTGAGGGAAAAAAGTATTTGATCCCCTGCTGATTGTGTACGTTTGCTGATTGATTGCTTCTGGCTCCCAGGTATCTTTTATACAGGTAACAAACTGAGATTAGGAGCACTCCATTTAAGAATGTGCTCCTAATCTCAGCTCGTAACCTGTATAAAAGACACCTGGGAGCCAGAAGTCTTTCTGATTGAGAGGGGGTCAAATACTTATTTCCCTCATTAAAATGCAAATCAATTTATAACATTTTTGACATGCGTTTTTCTGGATTTGTTTGTTGTTATTCTGTCTCTCACTGTTCAAATAAACCTACCATTAAAATTATAGACTGATCATGTCTTTGTCAGTGGGAAAACGTACAAAATCAGCAGGGGATCAAATACTTTTTTGCATCACTGAATACCTAATACACACAAAACTAGTAAGGAATGGAATTTAAGAAAATATACATATATGGACAAGCAATGACAGAGCGGCATGGACTAAGATACAGTAGAATATTATAGAATAGAATGCAGTATATACATATGAGATGAGTAGTGCAAGAAATGTAAACATTATTAAAGTGACTAGTGTTACATTTCTTAAAGTGGCCAGTGATTTCAATAGGCAGCAGCAGCCTCTAATGTGCTAGTGATGGCTATTTTAACAGTCTGATGGCCTTGAGATAGAAGCTGTTTTTCATTCTCTCGGTCCCAGCTTTGTTGCACCTGTACTGACCTCGCCTTCTGGATGATAGCGGGGTGAACAGGCAGTGGCTCGGGTGGTTGATGTCCTTGATGATCTTTTTGGCCTTCCTGTGACATCGGGTGCTGTATGTGTCTTGGAGGGCGGGTAGTTTGCCCCCGATAATGCGCACCACCCTCTGGAGAGCCCTGCGGTTGCGGGCGGTGCAGTTGCCATACCAGGTGGTGATACAGCCCGACAGGATGCTCTCAATTGTGTATCTGTAAAGGTTTGTGAGGGTGCCAAGCCGAATTTCTTCAGCCTCCTGAGGTTGAAGAGGCTCTGTTGCGCCTTCTTCACCACATCAGCGAAGTGGAGACGTTGTTTCCTACCTTCACCACCTGGGGGCGGCCCGTCAGGAAGTTCAGGACCCAGTAGCACAGGGCGGGGTTCAGACCCAGGGCCTCGTGCTTGATGATGAGCTTGGAGGGTACTATGGTGTTGAATGCTGAGCTATAGTCAATGAACAGCATTCTTACATAGGTATTCCTCTTGTCCAGATGGGATAGGGCAGTGTGCATTGTGATGGCGATTGCATCGTCTGTGGATCTATTGGGGCGGTAAGCAAATTGAAGTGGGTCTAGGGTGACAGGTAAGGTAGAGGTGATATGATCCTTGACTAGTCTTTCAAAGCACTTCATGATGACAGAGATTAGTGCTACAGGGCGATAGTCATTTAGTTCAGTTACCTTTGCTTTCTTGGGTACAGGAACAATGGTGGCCATCTTGAAGCATTTGGGAACAGTAGACTGGGAAAGGGAGAGATTGAATATGTCCATAAACACACCAGCCAGCTGGTCTGCACATTGAAATGTATTCCAGTTGACTACCTCATGAAACTGGTTGAGAGAATGCCAAGAGTGTGCAAAGCTGTCATCAAGGCAAAGGGTGGCTATTTGAAGAATCTCAAATATATAATATATTTTGATTTGTTGAACATAGTTTTGATGTCTTCACTATTATTCTACAATGTAGAAAATAGTAAAAATAAAGAAAAATCCTTGAATTTGTAGGTGTTCTAAAACTTTTGACCGGTAGTGTGTGTATATATATATATATATATATATATATATATATATATATATATATATATATATATATATATTTTTTTTTTTTTTTACATAGGCTTTATTTTAAAGCAGACATTAAAATGGCTTTGATTCTAAAGGTTAACGCGTGGCAGTGAGATGCCACGCTTAAACCTTCAGCATCAAAGCAACATATGACGAGAAAACTCACCAATATCCAACAATAAAGCTTTAAGGTAGCGAAAGCCCTATGATTTGCATGCATGTCTTTGAATGTGTGTGACGGTGTGTGTGCCCCTGTTTGCTTGTCATCATGCGGTAATGAGGATTTGGAGGTGCGTTTTATTGTCACATACACCGGATAGGTGCAGTAAAATGTGTTGTTTTACAGGGTCAGCCATAGTAGTACGGCGCCCCTGGAGCAAATTAGGGTTAAGTGCCTTGCTCAAGGGCACTGGCCCAACGCTCTCTGGGTGATCTTATGACATGCATTGACCCCACTCAGAATCAACAAAGGGAGGGAAAGTGAACGGTTGAAATGGTTAATTAAAATATAATAATATATGCCATTTTATCCAAAGCGACATGCAGTCATGCGTGCATACAATTTATGTACAGGTGGTCCCGGGTATCAAACCCACTATCCTGGAGTTGGAAGCGCCATGCTCTACCAACTGAGCTACAGAGGACCACGTAAACAAATAATAACGTGTCTTGCAACAGAGAGTATACCCGCTTGGTGCTCTCAGCAATGTTTCGACATATGTCTTTCCAACTTTCTTTCTTGCCACACTCTCTCCTTCCTCATTCAGGAACAGAAGGACAAGAGCTACTCAACGGTCAAGACTGCTGCCACCCGCATCAGTGTCAACAACCTCAAACCTGGCACCACCTACGTCTTCCTCATCCGTCCCTTCTCCACCCCGGCCCCCTCCTCCTCCCTCCTCTCCGCCTCCTCCTCCTCCTCTTCCTCCTCCCCCTCTCCCATCGACTACGGAGGCTACAGCGCTCCCCTGGAGCTACAGACGCTTGGCGAATGTGAGTATGGCCATTCCTCCCTCCCTTTCCTCTACTATCTCGTTCCAACGCCGCGAGGCAGCTTAGGATATGGCCGTGTAGGCGTCCGGCCAGCCCACACAATGAGGCCTCGTGTTTGCTAAAGACTGAGGTGTGCGTGTGGAGGGCGGGTACGTGCAAGGCTCCAGGATTTTGAAATCAAGCTGTGAAATGTCTATTTCTTTGCTCTGCGATAGGGAGTCCCTTTATTGTCATCTGTTTGTGTGTTTCAGTGTGTGAGAGTTTGTGTGTTTGTGTCCTTTTGTGTGTGTGTGTGTGTGTATTCTCCCATGTGCCTGCTCTTAAACGATATGTGTGTGTCCGTTCCAATCCACAGTGGCGCTGGCGTCCAGTGAGCAGAACCCAGTGATCATCATAGTGGTGGTGTCTGTGGCCGCCCTCATCATGCTACTCTCTATGGGAGTGGGCTTGCTCCTCTGGAGAAGGTACACACACAGACACACACACACACACACACACACACACACAGACAATATGCACGAACACACACACACACATACAGGCACACAATCATACAGATATACACAACATGCACGTACACACACACGCACACACACACACACACAAACCAACAATTACATCTGAAGAAAGTACACACACACACACACATAATATGCATGCACACACACAGCACACACACACGCACACACTCATACAGATATACACAACATGCACGTGCACACACACACACACACACACACATAATATGCACACACACAAACACAACACACACAGCACACACACATAATGTGCACACACGAACAGACTTCTAAACCCACACACACTGTCACTGCTCATGCCACTCCATCATAATCCTGATTTCAATAATCCAATGACTAGAAGCACTCTGCCTCAAAGCATGTAATCACATTGAGAAGAGCTTTAATGCATGTACAATCAGCTCTGCTCAGAGCCACTGTAATATAGAGCATTAACAAGGAACATTAGACGAGCTATTGTCACTGCTGGGGCAGCCATGCTAAACGGTTGCATCGTTAACTCTGAACATTTTCATGATTTCAATTCGACCTATCCTCTTAGGGTAACATACAGTATACAGCCATTTCAATAGAATTTGGCTTGTGCTCTTACTTTATAATTCAACCATAGTTTGCTGTACATTATTTACAGTTGTCGTGCACAATTTAGTACTTTGGTTACCAATGGTTACCAATGTAGTAACTACATGACATAAGGGCAACTCCATGTTGTTGCCAAGAAGTTTTGCCAGAAACTTTGACATCTGTTCAAGTCTATAGAAAAACCCAACTCACACGCCCACACACATGCTCCAGTGGGTTGGCATGCAGAACCACACTCCCACACAGTCGCACACAATTACACACACAAACACACACGGCCGCAATCAGATCTCACATTTACATTTGACCCATTTGGTTGACACTCTTATACAGAGCCATTCATAGTCGGTGCATTTAAAATGGCGGCTGAACCATCACATAATGTTAGTCTTCTCAATAAGATAGGAACATTTGATATACACACACACACACACACACACACACTTACTGCACTCTCTCCCTCACACACACACACACAGCAGTGCACACACACACTCAGTCGCTGACCTATCACCCTGATCTGATAGCATAGCTCCTTTCAGACAGTATATTTGTGTGGAGGAGATCTCTGATTATACCAACCCTCTATGTTTATCCTGTTCCACATTGATCTGGGAGATGGGAATAGATTAGATGGAGGGAGTGTGAAATGTCTTCCATTCATTCACACCAACACAATACGCTGAGGACGCACAGGAACTGTCAATCGCACGCGCGCGCTTATTGCGCATACTCATGCACACACTAACCCATACACGCGCACACACAGGGATAAGTTGCACACACTGGCACAATTACACCCACACACACTCACATAGATACATACTGTACATTCAGCTCACATGCCTACATACACACAGACACGTTCAAGGACACAATCCTGTGGACACGACGCTATGTCCAGGATCCCTACCAGCGTGAACCAATCGACCTTCATTGAGAATGGATCTATTCTAAACTATTCTTCCAGAATGCTTGCCTCATTCATCAGTCTATGAGAATATGGCCATTAGCCATCTCTTTAGATCTCTACCACAGACAAAGACAAATAGGTTGATACCTCAATTACCATGCTTCCTTGTTTGCAAATATGGCCGACCCCCGATATCCCCACGGGGCTACAATTGCAGATGATCTGCTCACTGAGACGGGCACACGTACACGCATGCACACACACACACACAAATGTATGCACACACACACAAACACACTCTGTCTGTCCACATAGATTATGTCCACTTGAATTAAATGGCCCTGTCAGATCAAGCAGTTTTAAATTGTGTTTGGGGTCGGCTAGATGTGTTTTGCCTAGGGGTCATATACATGAATATCCTCCATCCCTCCTCCACACTCTCCCACCTCCCCCCTTCCTCTTAGAGACCGAGTTACGAGTTATGGACACATTACTGGAACACACACACATGCAGACACACGCACACACACATAGTGTGAGAGGGAGATTTTGTCATAGTCATGCACACAGCAACACTGATAGTGATTGCCATACTGCATATAAAAACAAACACTTTCCTACTTTAGTTTAGATAAGCATGAACAGACCGATGTATCACACACAATACGTTCCTGCTTGACAGAGTTTGATAGTGCCAAGGTTACAGGGCAGCAGTAGCCCCTAATCTCTCCAGGAAGTTCAGGCTTGGCTGGACAGAGCACTGATTGTTTACCCTCTGCTGCCTCCGGACAGACACTGTTGGTCATACGGTCAGCGGAGAGGGGGATGGAGGGAGAAAAATAAAGAAATTGTATGAAGAAAATAAAGAAAGATTGGCAGAAGTGGAAGGCCATTGCGTAAGTGCGTGGACTGTGACACAATCATAGGAGGGGTGGATGAGATGGAAATAAGGAAGGAAGGAAGGAAGGAAGGAAGGAAGGAAGGAAGGAAGGAAGGAAGGAAGGAAGGAAGGAAGGAAGGAGTCCCTTGTCTCGCTTGTTGCTCGCCTGGTACACACCAGTGCTTTCCAATCAGTGTTCTCCTCCAATGGACAGCAAGCTCCTCCATTTTGGATCTGCCCCCTGTGCTCCACTACTTTTCTATTTCGCCTTTTTGTTTTGCTCACTTCCTCCTTGCACACCTGACCTATAGTGCCCTATGTCCCTCATTCCCTCAGCCTAGCTCCCCCCTTTCTCTTTTATATCAGTACATGTGAGGCTCTATGCTCTTCACAAGGTGAATCCCAATACTCTAAAATGGCCTCCTTTACAGAGTTTGGCAGAATTTCCCATATGTTGGCAGACATAGCAGTCTAATGTGCTACTCACTGGAAGAGATAAATAAGGTATTTTTTACAATTAAATTCTGTTTGCCAAACTCTTCGGTATATCTATGCTCTGGGTGAAAGAACCATGCATACCTTTTGGGTTACATCCAGCCTGTCCTATTACATCAAATGGAAAGGAAGCCATTTCAGAGAATTGGGGCACACAACCTGTCCTGTAGCCAATGAGGAGAGAGGATGTGACTTAGCCCTGCCCCCTCCCCTTCTTCTCTTCTACCCAGCAGTCTCTCGTCCAGCTCCTCCAACATAGCTCCTACTAGCGTGGTGCTGCTCTCCACCTCCTTCTCCACTCTTCCTCCTACTCCTCTTCCTCCTCTTTCTCCCTACACGCAGCTGTCAACCCCCAGGTACAGGCATGTCTGCACTCCTCCCCTGCTCCTCCCTCCTTACTGTCTTCCCTTCACCCTTTATTTTGACCATTCTTCCTCTCGTTCTCCCTCGTCCTTTTCCTGCCTGACCCAGTCCAAATCCCCCGCCCCAGTCTAGACAGAGAGATGATGACACAATGAAGCTGCCCCCTCCTCTCCTTGAGTGTGTACTAAACAGGGCTCATCTGGAAAAGAGGCCTTGGTCTCTGCATCGATTCCCTGTCAAAATAAAGGTTAAATAATACAATAAAATAGACCTTGGGCCTGGTTCCATTCGGACCCCTAGCCCCTTCCCATTTGGAGTTCACAGATGAAAATGTATACAGTATAGTGGAGGCTCCACTTGTCCTATTGGAGGGCTAGGTGGAGCTTATACCTGTCCGTGCTTTCAGACCTGTGAAAGCTGCAGGGATAGTGGCTAGGGGCTGAAATGGAACCAGGCCGTTGTATGCCTTTTGCACTCTTGCCCTCTCTCTCTCTGCATGTCTGCTGGTTGGTCCTTACAGATTGGCCCTATAGGCTTGTTGTCTTATTTTGCCCCACTCCTCTCTCCTCTCTCTCTCTCTGGCCCTGCTGGTTAAGAGTCTGTATGTGTTAGCCTCCCCACCCCCACCCCGCCCAAACCTGTCTTTCCCATCTCACCGTGTGCATGCACTGGTGATACGGCTTGACGTGCGCATTAACACACATGAACAGACACAAACAAAGATGCACACAGACTAGGCGTGCACACACACATGGACAGACAGCCAGACACACACGCACATACACGGACATGCATTCACACAACAGACATACTGTACACACTAATGCATAGTTGCGATCACACAAAATCAATGACAGACTCTTGTATAGTGTACATCACAGGTGGCTGGTGGCACCTTCAATAGGGAGGACGGGCTCGTAGTAATGGCTTGAATGGAATGGTAGGTGTTTGATACCATTCCATTCACTCCATTCAAGGCATTATTATGATATGTCCTCCCCTCACCAGCCTCCTGTGTTTATTATGTATGTATGCACATATTTAGCCTTTAGCTCTACTTAGCCCTGTGCCTTTCTTTTGTTTCAAACTGGTTGTGAATTATGGACCACTCAATCTCTGACTGCTTCCCTTAGACTCTAACACTTCATCATGGCACCTGTCCTCATCTCAATCCCTTATTATCCCCATGTGCATGGTGGCCAAACAGAATGCCTGGCTCTGGCTGTCCCCATTTAGTTCTTAATCTCACACTCTGGTGGTCTTAAGAGGAAGGCCCTGAACTCTCTGTCTACAGTTGGAAAGCCCCACCAATTAGACAACCTCTCCACTTTGCTACTTTCAGACCCCCTGTGGAGGCACAGGATGAGCTATGAGAGAGGAAGTGTGTACAGCCATTAGAACAGTTGGAAGTGCGTGTGTTTGGGGGTTAGGGTGGGGAAGGGGGGGTTTATGCAGAAGTGCGTGCATGTTGAAATGTGCAAACTATGGGTGTTTGCCCGTGTGTGTCCACTCAAACAAAGCAGGTTTGATTTCCACAGTAGATGCCCAGTTTCAGAAGTGAGTTTTATCCAGCCAGTTCCACTGAACAACAGGGGGGCTCTATCAATGATCCAAGTTCTAATTCACTGATATCCAGAAACCTATTGTTCTCATTTCCAAGAGGAATTGAAGACTTGTATCAATCTATTTTTATATAGCTAGTGATGTTTTACATCTGTGTGGCTTTGTTTGTTCCCTCCCTGCAGACAATGTGGATACAGCAAGGCCAGTCAAGAGGGAGACGAAGAACTCTACTTCCAATGTGAGTAACTGTGGCGACACACACTCTCCCTCTGTGTGTGTGTGTGTGTGTGTGTGTGTTGAGTCTGCACTCTATGGATGGAGGAGGAATCTGTTAGTGTGCGTGCGTGTGTGTGACAGAGAGAGATTACTTGTGAAGTATTAACTTGTGCGTGGCCGTTCATTCTTAATTCTGTGTGCGTGTTTAGGCTACGCTGAGCACACTGATACAGTCCATTAGATGGTGTCTGAGGCAGAATGTGATGGAGAGAGATTGAAATTAATAGGGAGAGAGATGGAGGAAGAGGGGTGGATGAGATGGAGGAAGAGGGGTGGATGAGATGGAGGAAGAGGGGTGGATGAGATGGAGGAAGAGGGGTGGATGAGATGGAGGAAGAGGGGTGGATGAGATGGAGGAAGAGGGGTGGATGAGATGGGGAGAAGGGAATAGATAGATGGAACAAAGACATGAAGTAGAAATAAGAAGACAGATAGTGGGCCAGCCAGATGATTTGCCGTCCCCCGAGTAGGAAGGATGTTAATGTTTGTCGTAAACTTTTTGAGTTGCCTGTGTCTCTGTTTTTCCATCAATCTTTTTGAAGGGCTTTGTTTGACAGATTGTGGGTGGTTTGACATTTTTCCTGTGTGTGTGTGTGTGTGTGTGTGTGTGTGTGTGTGTGTGTGTGTGCTGGGAATTAAATATGCCCAAAAAAAGACACTTAAACAGCTGATGAGCTCACACACACACACACACTCTTTCTCTCAGACGTGCACAAATGCAGACAGACATCTACACACACTCGGTGGGTCTACATACATCTCTTCTTATGTCTCTTTGTGTGTGTGTGTGTGCCTTCATGCGTGTGTGTCTCTCATGCAATCATGCAGTGTTAATATCCATTAATTTCCCCTCAATCGCTTGTGGCAAAGACACGGTTAACCCTGAAACTAATCAGCCACACAAAAAGCCCAAGCAGAGAGGGAGAGGGAGGGAGAGGGAGAGGGCGAGGGGGAAGGAGGGAGAGGGGGAGGGAGAGGGAGGGAGGGAGAGGGCGAGGGGGAGGGAGGGGAGGGCGAGGGGGGGAGGGCGAGCGGGAGGGAGGGAGGGAGAGGAGGGAGGGGGAGGGAGGGAGAGGGGGAGGGGGAGAGAGGGAGGGAGGGAGGGAGAGAGGGAGGGAGGGAGGGAGAGGGGGAGGGAGAGGGGGGAGGGAGAGCGGGGAGAGGGAGAGGGAGGGAGAGCGGGGAGAGGGAGAGCGGGAGCGGCGGGAGAGCGGGGGGAGCGCGGGAGAGGGCGGAGGAGAGCGGGAGAGGGAGGGCGAGGTGGGGGGGTGCGGCGAGGGCGGAGGAGGGAGCGGGAGCGCGGTGAGGGCGGCGGGTGAGGGCGCAGGGCGTAGGGGAGGGAGGGAGAGCGGGATGGCGCGGGAGGGAGGGAGGGGCGTAGGGAGGAGGGAGGGCAGGGCGCGCGGGAGAGGCGAACCGTAGAGGGAGGGACCGAGCTGGGAGAGGGGAGGAGGGGAGCAGGGATGAGCGGGGAGACGGGCGGGAGAGAGGGGGAGGGAGGGGCGAGGGAGGGAGAGCGGTGAGAGAGAGGGAGGTGATAGAGCGAAGAGAGGCGCGGGGGAGAGTAAAGAGGGGGAGAGGGGACGAGGGAAGGCGAGAGCGGGGGCGTAGGGAGAGGGAGGGAGAGCGAGGGAGAGGGAGGGAGGGAGAGCGAGGGAGGGAGAGGGAGGGAGAAGTAATAACTCCTCCACTGAGCTGTTGTGTGGTTAAAAAACCCATTGCTCTGGAAAAGAGGGTCTTCGATCCTTCCACTCAGCACTGGCCAGCTGGAATGGAGAAGCTTTAATTTGCTCTGCAATCAGACTTTATTTATTTGTGTGTGTGTGTGTGTGTGTGTGTGTGTGTGCAAGTGATCAATAAGCCGTTATGAGACAGTGAGTCGAGACCTGGTCGATTTAGAGTTGTAATCACATTTCAGAACCAGTCTGGCCCAAAGGCTTCTGGGAAGGCCCGGCTTCTTAGGTAGAAGTAGGGCCTAAGTACCACTGGTTTTGAATCCTCCGAATAATTAAATAGTGGTTAGAAGTCCGATTTGAGGAGGTTTATCCTGTTCTTAGATCTGTTTCTAAGGGTAACTTCAACCCAGAACTAGTCTTGTACCGGGGTTGACTGCGTAAGTGGTCAAAGGTTAGGTATTGGCTAGAGTGTAAATGTATTGGTCAAGGGTTATGGGCCACATAGTAGTTAAAGGCTTAGGTGCTAGTCAGGGTTGAATAGGGTTTAGTGACTAGTAATGGACTTAGGGTAGAGAACATAATTTATCACTAGTGACAAAAAGTCACTGAGCCTCACCATTTACACAAGGTACTTTACCCTACAAGGGAGCATGTACAGATCAAATCATTTTAACTTTACACCTTTCATAATGGATTACAGGTTAGAAAGCAAGAGTTCACACTTATGATGTGATTTATTTGGCGTGCCTTAAATACGGTTTTGTGATTCACAAATAGGACTAGCTTGTAGTTTCTGTGGTGGTGTGGTAGATTGTGCAGGTTGTAATATTGTGTGACTGTCTGTGTTTCACAGTTAAGATCCCGACCCGGAGGACCTACATAGACCCAGAGACATGTGAGGACCTGGTGCAGGCTGTCCTCGCCTTTGCCAAAGAGCTGGACAACTCCAGCATCAAGATAGAGAGAATCGTCCACACAGGTACTGAGACAGTGCTTTAACTTTCATATACTCTCATATTCTCTTTCTTTGTGCTGTCTTTTTCTTTGCCAATTTTCATTCCTCTATCTCCCCTCCCTGTTTGCCCTGTCTTTGTCTCCTTTTTTCCGCTCGCTCGCTCTCTCTCTCTCTCTCTCTCTCGCTCCTCATATCTCTCGCGCATCTCTCGCGCAGCCTAGCTCTCTCTCTCACATCTCGCGAGAGGATCTCTCGCACGATAGCACTCTCTCTCTCTCTCGAGCTCAGTCATATATCTCTCCGCCTTACTCTCTCATCTAAGCTCCTCATACTACTCTGCTAGAATCATTCTAGCTGCGCCTCATCTCTCTGCTCTACTCCTCATCTCTCTCTCCGCATCATCTCTATCATCTCTCTATATCTCTCTCTCTCCATCTCTCTCTCCTCAGCTCTCTCTTTCCTCATCTCTCTCTTTCCTCATCTCTCTCTCTCTCTTGCTCTCTCTCGCTCTGCCTCTCTCAATTCAATTTCAATTTAGGGCTTTATTGGCATGGGAAACGTGTGTTAACATTGCCAAAGCAAGTGAATAGATAGTAAACAAAGTGAAATAAACAATAAATATTAACAGTAAACATTACACTCAGAAGTTTCAAAAGAATAAAGACATTTCAAATGTCATATTATGTATATATACAGTGTTGTAACAATGTGCAAATAGTTAAAGTACAAATGGGAAAATAAATAAACATAAATATGGGTTGTATTTACAATGGTGTTTGTTCTTCACTGGTTGCCCTTTTCTTGTGGCAACAGGTCACAAATCTTGCAGCTGTGATGGCACACTGTGGTTTTTCACCCAGTAGATAAGGGAGTTTATCAAAATTGGGTTTGTTTTCGAATTCTTTGTGGATCGCTGTAATCTGAGGGAAATATGTGTCTCTAATATGGTCATACATTTGGCAGGAGGTTAGGAAGTGCAGCTCAGTTTCCACCTCATTTTGTGGGCAGTGTGCACATAGCCTGTCTTCTCTTGAGAGCCAGGTCTGCCTACGGCGGCCTTTCTCAATAGCAAGGCTATGCTCACTGAGTCTGTACATAGTCAAAGCTTTCCTTAAGTTTGGTTCAGTCACAGTGGTCAGGTATTCTGCCACTGTGTACTCTCTGTTTAGGGCCAAATAGCATTCTAGTTTGCTCAGTTTTTTTGTTTGTTCTTTCCAATGTGTCAAGTAATTCTCTTTTTGTTTTCTCATGATTTGGTTGGGTCTAATTGTGTTGTTGTTGTTGTTGTTGTCCTGGGGCTGTGTGGGGTCTGTTTGTGTTTGTGAACAGAGCCCCAGGACAAGCTTACTTAGGGGACTCTTCTCCAAGTTCATCTCTCTGTAGGTGATGGCTTTGTTATGGAAGGTTTGGTTATAGAATTTAACAGCTCTTTTCTGGATTTTGATAATTAGCGGTATTGGCCTAATTCTGCTCTGCATACATTATTTGGTGTTTTACGTTGTACACAGAGGATGTTTTTGCAGAATTCTGCATGCAGAGTCTCAATTTGGTGTTTGTCCCATTTTGTGAATTCTTGGTTGCTGAGCGGACCCCAGACCTCAGAACCATAAAGGGCAATGGGTTCTATAACTGATTCAAGTATTTTTAGCCAGATCCTAATTGGTATGTCAAATTTTATGTTCCTTTTGATGGCATAGAAGGCCCTTCTTGCCTTGTCTCTCAGATCGTTCACAGCTTTGTGGAAGTTACCTGTGGCGCTGATGTTTAGGCTGAGGTATGTATCGTTTTTTGTGTGCTCTAGGGCAACGGTGTCTAGATGGAATTTGTATTTGTGGTCCTGGCAACTGTACCTTTTTTGGAACACCATTATTTTTGTCTTACTGAGATTTACTGTCAGGGCCCAGGTCTGACAGAATCTGTGCAGAAGATCTAGGTGCTGCTGTAGGCCCTCCTTGGTTGGTGACAGAAGCACCAGATCATCATCAAACAGAAGACATTTGACTTCAGATTCTAGTAGGGTGAGGCCGGGTGCTGCAGACTGTTCTAGTGCCCTCGCCAATTCGTTGATATATATGTTGAAGAGGGTGGGGCTTAAACTGCATCCCTGTCTCACCCCACGGCCCTGTGGAAAGAAATGTGTGTGTTTTTTGCCTATTTTAACCGCACACTTGTTGTTTGTGTACATGGATTTTATAATGTCGTATGTTTTTCCCCCAACCCTACTTTCCATCAATTTGTATAGCAGACCCTCATGCCAAATTGAGTCAAAAGCTTTTTTGAAATCAACAAAGCATGAGAAGACTTTGCCTTTGTTTTGGTTTGTTTGTTTGTCAATTAGGGTGTGCAGGGTGAATACGTGGTCTGCCGTACGGTAATTTGGTAAAAAGTCAATTTGACATTTTCTCAGTACATTGTTTTCACTGAGGAAATGAACTAGTCTGCTGTTAATGATAATGCAGAGGATTTTCCCAAGGTTGCTGTTGACGCATATCCCACGGTAGTTATTGGGGTCAAATTTGTCTCCACTTTTGTGGATTGGGGTGCTCAGTCCTTAGTTCCAAATATTGGGGAAGATGCCAGAGCTAAGGATGATGTTAAAGAGTTTAAGTATAGCTAATTTAAATTTGTGGTCTGTATATTTTATCATTTCATTGAGGATACCATCAACACCACAGGACTTTTTGGGTTGGAGGGTTTGTATTTTGTCCTGTAGTTCATTCAATGTAATTGGAGAATCCAGTGGGTTCTGGTAGTCTTTAATAGTTGATTCTAAGATTTGCATTTGATCATGTATATTTTTTTGCTGTTTGTTCTCTGTTATAGGGCCAAAAAGATTGGAGAAGTGGTTTACCCATACATCTCCGTTTTGGATAGATAGCTCTTCGTGTTGTTGATTGTTTAGTGTTTTCCAATTTTCCCAGAAGTGGTTAAAGTCTATGGATTCTTCAATTACATTGAGCTGATTTCTGACATTCTGTTCCTTCTTTTTCCGTAGTGTATTTCTGTATTGTTTTAGTGATTCACCATAGTGAAGGCGTAGGCTCAGGTTTTCTGGGTCTCTGTGTTTTTGGTTGGATAGGTTTCTCAATTTCTTTCTTAGGTTTTTGCATTCTTCATCAAACCATTTATCACTGTTATTACTTTTCTTTGGTTTTCTGTTAGAGATTTTTAGATTTGATAGGGAAGCTGAGAGGTCAAATATACTGTTTAGGTTTTCTACTGCCAAGTTTACACCTTCACTATTACAGTGGAACCGGAAGTTTTGTCCAGGAAGTTGTCTAGAATGGATTGAATTTGTTGTTTCCTAATTGTTTTTTGGTAGGTTTCAACACTACTTTCCTTCCATCTATAGCATTTCTTAATATTATTCAGTTCCTTTGGCTTTGATGCCTCATGATTGAGTATTGCTCTGTTCAAGTAGACTGTGATTTTGCTGTGGTCTGATAGGGGTGTCAGTGGGCTGACTGTGAATGCTCTGAGAGACTCTGGGTTGAGGTCAGTGATAAAGTAGACTACAGTACTACTGCCAAGAGATGAGCTATAGGGGTACCTACCATAGGAGTCCCCTCGAAGCCTACCATTGACTATGTACATACCCAGTGTGCGACAGAGCTGCAGGAGTCGTGACCCGTTTTTGTTGGTTATGTTGTCGTAGTTGTGCCTAGGGGGGCATATGGGGGAGGGAATGCTGTCACCTCCAGGTAGGTGTTTGTCCCCCTGTGTGCTGAGGGTGTCAGGTTCTTGTCCAGTTCTGGCATTTAGGTCGCCACAGACTAGTACGTCCCTGGGTCTGGAAATGATTGATTTCCCCCTCCAGGATGAAAAAACTGTCTTCATTAAAGTATGGGGATTCTAGTGGGGGGATATAGGTAGCACACAGGAGGACATTTTTCTCAGTTGAGATAATTTCCTTTTGAATTTCTAACCAAATGTAAAATGTTCCTGTTTTGATTAATTTAATAGAGTGAGTTAGGTCTGCTCTATACCAAATTAGCATACCCCCTGAGTCCCTTCCCTTCCTTCTCTCTCTCGCTCCTCATCTCTCTCTCCTCATCTCTCTCTCCTCATCTCAATCTCTCTCCTCATCTCTCTCTCTCTCTCTCCTCATCTCTCTCTCCTCATCTCTCTCTCAATCTATCTCTCTCTCTCTCTCTCTCTCCTCATCTCTCTCTCTCTCTCCTCATCTCTCTCTCCTCATCTCTCTCTCTCCTCATCTCTCTCTCTCCTCATCTCTCTCTCTCTCTCCTCATCTCTCTCACTCTCTCTTGCTCTCTCTCTCCTCATCTCTCTCTCTCTCTCTCGCTCTCTCTCTCCTCATCTCTTACTCACCCCCACCTCTCTCTGATATACCAGTACTGTAGTCAGCTAACCCTCTCTCTGTGTCTCCACTTGCAGGTGACTTTGGGGAGGTGTGTCGTGGGTGTCTCAAGCTGCCCAGTAAGCGGGAGCTTCCGGTGGCCATCAAGACGCTGAGGGCCGGCTGCTCAGAGAAACAGAGGCGCTCCTTCCTCAGCGAAGCCGGGATACTGGGACAGTTTGACCACTCCAACATCATCCGTCTGGAAGGGGTCATCACCAGCGGTGAGCTAGTTACCTAAATCACAAATGAACCCCTAGCCCCTATGCACTTACACCCAGCCCCTATTTACTATGCTTTATAGGGGGAAACTGTCTGGAGAAAAAAAACTTAAGAAATCCCTCCCCCACTGAACAGACCGCACAAACCCCAAATGGTTACTCATTGACAGACCGACAGCAGTTGAGGTCCAGTAGAGAAGGGAGACGGAGAAAAGAACAGGATGAAGTAAAGGTTAATGGAGAAAGTTAGGTGAGGAGAGGTTTAGAGAGTTTCAGAGGGGTACTGTAGAGGGCACGGTGCGTGTGAGTCCGATGAGATAGAACCGGGGTAGGAAGGAATGGGATTGGGTGGGACTGGTGCCTGCCTGCCTGAACACACACTGTGCACTGTTCGACTGCAGCATATGTGTTGGGTACGGTAATTGGTGCTGGAGACACAGCGGGACTCTGAAACCCACTCTAATCTTCCCCGCCGCCTCACACACACTCACACGTGCATGCTCACACACACACGGGCATGCATACACACACATTCAAACTCACACCTCACACACACCACACACACCGCCCTCAGATTGCAAATCACCTGCATTGCATTGCTTACCCCCCACTAGCCCGCCATTCAACCCCTTCTACCCCCACAGCCCACCTGTCAGCCCCTACCTCCTCTCCCTCCTCCCTCTCCCATCTCCAATCTCCATCTATCAGAGGGCTCCAGCGCTACAGGGAGGGTCATTAGAGAGACAGAGACGTGTTGCTAGCTAAACGTCCAGCAGGGGACACCAGGGGGAGGTGGTGGGACATAATAGGGGAGTGTAGGGTACCGGGTACCGGGTAGTGTGTGGGGGTGGTAGGGTAGATCAGCAGGATAGTCTGGTAGAAAAGAAGAGGTAGATTGTCTTGTAGTGAAGAGTGATAGGGTACTCATTGAAGTGTGACAGAGTAGTGTACCAGAGTGTGTGGTGCGGTAGTGATAGGTTAGTTAGATAGTGATTTAGTGAAGCGGTAGTTCTGTATGTTAGTGTTGCATGATAACATAGACGTATGATGTGGTAGAACAGAGTGATGACGTAATGTAATAGTGTAGTCCTGTCTGTCTGTTTGTGATAGAGGGGGCCTGAGGGAGGCTGATATTGTCCATGTATAAGGGACTTAGATGACAGCCACAGCCAGCAAGAGGACAGTGTGTGTGTGAGAGAGAAAGTGCTCGGTTTCCACGTCACTCTGCTCCATCTCTGTCTGACACACACAAACGCTAACCTGGTCACTAAGGGAGTCACTGCTTCCTGCCTTTCTAATGGAGCGGCGTCCTTTCTCCTCAGCTGACTGCTCTCTCTCTCTGTTTCTCTCCCTCACCATCTCATTATCCCACCACTCTTTCTGTCCCCTCTTCCTCTACTTTTAGTGTTTTCTTTCCCCTCTCTCATTCACTCGTTCCTACCCCAGTGCCTACTCCTTCTGTTCTCTCTCTCTCTTTTTTGCCCCTCTCAGGTGTCTGTCTTCTCTCCCTTTACTATTTTGATACACTCTGGCCACCTGCGCTCAGCGAGTGTGAGAAGTGTGTGTGTGTGGGGAGGGGGGTCATTCAACTTGGTGCTCCTCTCCAGCTTAGTGGGTGAAGAATGGCAGTGCATAAACACTGCTGCCTCCGAGCCAACTGGACTATACTAATAACCAGTGTGTGTGTGTGTGCAGGTAACACCATGATGATTGTGTTGGAGAGCATGTCCAACGGGGCCCTGGACTCCTTCCTCAGGGTAAGTGTGTGCATACTGTATGTGTGTGTGCATGTCTTTGTGTGCTCTGGTAACACAATGTTTACCTCAGCATGACTCCTGGTCTAGTTTCCAAATGTTATGTAAGATGTTGGTATGAAATAAATCCCTAGGCATATAGTGTATCCTTGGCCTTATAAGCCACATAACTAACAGTAAGACAACACATTCCTCACATCATGTTATAACTGAGTTTGTTCTCCATTGCGCTGCAATGGGTCCCAAGTTACATATATTCAAATTAATATTTGTTCATATATCATTGGTCCCAACCTACCATTTGAGAAACACTGTCCTAACAACACAATTAAATATATCATTCTTATATTTAGGGTTGCCAAATTCTGGTAACTTTCCCAAAATGTCCAGGTTTTCCAGAAATTCCCGGAATCAGGAGGGAATAAGTAGGAAATCCGTAAACCTGTGACCAGGATTCTGGAAAACATTGAAACTTTGGGAAATCAACCCTAATTATATTCCATCTCTATGGTCCTAACCCACTGTCTCCCCACTCCCTCCCCTCCTCCCCCTCTCTAGAAGCACGAGGGCCAGCTCTCTGTGCTCCAGTTGATGGACATGCTGGGGAGTGTGGCCTCTGGGATGAAGTACCTGACAGAGATGGGCTTCGTCCACCGCCACCTGGCCGCCCACAAGGTGCTGGTCAACGCCAGCCTGGGCTGCAAGGTGTCCGGCTTCAGACCCCTACAAGAGGACAAGATAGAGGCCATCTACAGCACACTGGTGAGACTACTGACTGATATTATATTACTAGTAAAAAGTATAGTACTAGTTATATATACAGTTGAAGTCGGAAGTTTACATACACTTAGGTTGTAGTCATTAAAACTTGTTTTTCAACCACTCCACACATTTCTTGTTAATAAACTATAGTTTTGGCAAGTCGGTTAGGACATCTACTTTGTGCATGACACAAGTAATTTTTCCAACAATTGTTTACAGACAGATTATTTCACTTATAATTCACTGTATCACAATTCCAGTGGGTCAGAAGTTTACATACACTTAGTTGACTTGCCTTTAAACAGCTTGGAAAATTCCAGAAAATGATGTCATGGCTTTAGAAGCTTCTGATAGGCTAATTGACATAATTTGAGTCAATTGGAGGTGTACCTGTGGATGTATTTCAAGGCCTACCTTCAAACTCAGTGCCTCTTTGCTTGACATCATGGGAAAATCAAAAGAAATCAGCCAAGACCTCACCAAGACCTCAGACCTCATCCTTGGGAACAATTTCCAAACGCCTGAAGGTACCACGTTCATTGTAGAAACACCATGGGACCACGCAGCCGTCATACCGCTCAGGAAGGAGACGCGTTCTGTCTCCTAGAGATGAACGTACTTTGGTGCGAAAAGTGCAAATCAATCCCAGAACAACAGCAAAGGACCTTGTGAAGATGCTGGAGGAAACAGGTACAAAAGTATCTATATCCACAGTAAAACGAGTCCTATATCGACATAACCTGAAAGGCCGCTCAGCAAGGAAGAAGCCACTGCTCCAAAACCGCCATAAAAAAGCCAGACTACGGTTTGCAACTGCACATGGGGACAAAGATCGTACTTTTTGGAGAAATCTCCTCTGGTCTGATGAAACAAAAATATAACTGTTTGGCCATAATGACCATCGTTGTGTTTGGAGGAAAAAGGGGGTGCCTTGCAAGCCGAAGAACACCATCCCAACCGTGAAGCACGGGGGTGGCAGCATCATGCTGTGGGGGTGCTTTGCTGCAGGAGGGACTGGTGCACTTCACAAAATAGATGGCATCATGAGGAAGGAAAATTATGTGGATATATTTAAGCAACATCTCAATACATCAGTCAGGAAGTTAAAGCTTGGTCACAAATGGGTCTTCCAAATGGACAATGACCCCAAGCATACTTCCAAAGTTGTGGCAAAATGGCTTAAGGACAACAAAGTCAAGGTACTGGAGTGGCCATCACAAATCCCTGACCTCAATCATATAGAAAATGTGTGGGCAGAACTGAAAAAGCGTGTGCGAGCAAGGAGGCCTACAAACCTGACTCGGTTAGACCAGCTCTGTCAGGAGGAATGGGCCAAATTTTACCCAACTTATTGTGGGAAGCTTGTGGAAGGCTACCCAAAACATTTGACCCAAGTTAAACAATATAAAGGCAATGCTACCAAATACTAATTGAGTGTATGTAAACTTCTGACCCACTGGGAATGTGATGAAATAAATAAAAGCTTAAATAAATCATTCTCTCTAATATTATTCTGACATTTCACATTCTTAAAATAAAGTGGTGATCCTAACTGACCTAAAACAGGGAATTTTTACTAGGAATAAATGTCAGGAATTGTGAAAAACTGAGTTTAAATGTATTTGGCTAAGGTGTATGTAAACTTCCGACTTCAACTGTATATTCATTTTTTTACTAGTACTGTATATTACTAGTTATATATATATATTTAACTAGTACTGTTTAGCACTAGTTTTTTTTAAATATTATAATACTACCTATAGTCTTTACTCTTTACCCATAGAGGCCATCTACACCACACTGGTGAGACTACTGACTGATATGTAGTGTTATTTACTTTGTTTAAAACCGTATTGTTAACTAGCTTCTTTAGTCTTCACCCATAGTTATAGAGGCCATCTTCACCACTGGTGAGACTACTCACTGTGATAGGTAATACATACTGTATGTCCTGTGATATTTACATTGTTTACTACCTTATTCAGTCTTTACCCATATAGACCACGCTGGTGAGAGAACTGGCTGATATTTTTTTCCTATTAAATATATTACTCCTAATAATAAACATAAAAATCCCATCTTGTAAAAAAAAATGCTATAAAAATCATACATTCAAATGACAATGACATCTTTATAGAAGGCCGTTGTAGCCGGTGGGAGAGGCTCACTTATGTTCTTTGTATTTCCTGTTTGTGTTGAATCTGATGTGTGCAGTGCAGACTTTGATTTAAAATAGTTTCTATAATGAATCAGTCTTTCCCTGTGGTTTCTCTTTCTCGCTCTCTTTGTCTGACTCACCCTTTTCACTCTCTTGGTTGACAGTGGTTGATTAGATTAGAGTTAAGAGTAACCGTGTTTTGAAGAATGCAACAACAGAAACCAGAACTACTCTGGAGTAGTAACTTAAATGTCTATTTAAAAAAAGAAGTGTTCCTGGTTGCACATTTTATTTCCAAAGCGTGGATGTCGCGACAAGATAAGTTGTATAACTGAAAGGTTTAGTTTTTTGTGTTTAAATTGTATTAATTTCAGTAGGAATTCAAATGTGTATGTACAGTGGCTTGCGAAAGTATTCACCCCCTTGGTATTTTTCCTATTTTATTGCCTTACAACTTGGAATTAAAATAGATTTTTGGTGGGTTTGTATCATTTGATTTACACAACATGCCTACCACTTTGAAGATGCAAAATATTTTTTATTGTGAAACAAACAAGAAATAAGACAAAAAAAAACAGAACTTGAGCATGCATAACTATTCACCCCCCCAAAGTAAATACTTTGTAGAGCCACCTTTTGCAGCAATTACAGCTGCAAGTCTCTTGGGGTATGTCTCTATAAGCTTGGCACATCTAACCACTGGGATTTATGCCCATTCTTCAAGGCAAAACTGCTCCAGCTCCTTCAAGTTGGATGGGTTCCGCTGGTGTACAGCAATGTTTAAGTCATACCACAGATTCTCAATTGGATTGGGGTCTGGGCTTTGACTAGGCCATTCCAAGAGATTTAAATGTTTCCCCTTAAACCACTCAAGTGTTGCTTTAGCAGTATGCTTAGGGTCATTGTCCTGCTGGAAGACTGAAACAGGTTTCCCTCAAGAATTTCCTTGTATTTAGCGCCATCCATCATTCCTTCAATTCTGACAAGTTTCCCAGTCCCTGCCGATGAAAAACATCCCCACAGCATGATGCTGCCACCACCATGCTTCACTGTGGGGATGGTGTTCTCGGGGTGATGAGAGGTGTTGGGTTTGCGCCAGACATAGCGTTTTCCTTGATGGCCAAAAAGCTCAATTTTAGTCTCATCTGACCAGAGTACCTTCTTCCATATGTTTGGGGAGTCTCAAACATTCCTTTTTTCTGGCCACTCTTCCGTAAACCCCAGCTCTGTGGAGTGTATGGCTTAAAGTGGCTTTGCAGCTCCTTCAGGGTTATCTTTGGTCTCTTTGTTGCCTCTCTGATTAATGCCCTCCTTGCCTGGTCTGTGGGTTTTGGTGGGCGACCCTCTCTTGGCAGGTTTGTTGTGGTGCCATATTCTTTCAATTTTTTAATAATGGATTTAATGGTGCTCCGTGGGATGTTCAAAGTTTCTGATATTTTTTTATAACCCAACCCTGATCTGTACTTCTCCACAACTTTGTCCCTGACCTGTTTGGAGAGCTCCTTGGTCTTCATGGTGCCGCTTGCTTGGTGGTGCCCCTTGCTTAGTGGTGTTGCAGACTCTGGGGCCTTTCAGAACAGGTGTATATATATACTGAGATCATGTTACACTTAGATTGCACACATGTGGACTTTATTTAACTAATTATGTGACTTCTGAAGGTAATTGGTTGCACCAGATCTTATTTAGGGGCTTCATTGCAAAGGGGGTGAATAAATATGTACGCACCACTTTTCCGTTATTTATTTTTTAGAATATTTTGAAACAAGTTATTTTTTTCATTTCACTTCACCAATTTGGACTATTTTGTGTACGTCCATTACATGAAATCCAAAAAAACAAACATTTAAATTACAGGTTGTAAAGCAACAAAATAGGAAAAACGGCAAGGGGGATGAATACTTTTGCAAGGCACTGTACGTAATACATATGTAGGTAGGTATGTACGTACAGTACCAGTCAAAAGTTTGGACACACCTACTCATTCATTGTAGAATAATAGTGAAGACATCAAAACTATGAAATAACACATATGGAATCATGTAGTAACCCAAAAAGTGTTAAACGAATCAAAATATATTTTATATTTGAGATTCTTCAAATAGCCACCCTTTGCCTTGATGACAGCTTTGCACACTCTTGGCATTCTCTCAACCAGCTTCATGAGGTAGTCACCTGGAATGCATTTCAATTAACAGGTGTGCCTTCTTAAAAGTTAATTTGTGGAATTTCTTTCCTTCTTAATGATGCATGACACAATAATAAAATGAATAATGAACAAATATATAATAATCATAGTGTAGTAGGATGTTTAAATGTAAACTCTAACATGTTCATACAAGATGTCCAATGTCAAGCTGAGTGTGGAGTTGAACATTGAAAATCTCTCACTCTCTCTCCCTCAGCATGCAGGGAAGAGTGTAGTGTTGTGGACAGCCCCAGAGGCCATCCAGTACCACCGCTACAGCTCAGCGTCTGACGTGTGGAGCTTTGGCATCGTCATGTGGGAGGTCATGTCCTACGGAGAGAGGCCCTACTGGGACATGGGCAACCAGGACGTGAGTAGAGTGACTGGCTCTATCTCTATACTCTACCTTCTCCTCCTCTCTAGTCTCTTTATCCAGCTCATCTCTGTAGCTCCTCTCTATCTCGGTTGCTCGCTCTCTCTCTCTCTCTTTCTCTCTGTCTCTCTCTCTCTTTCTCTCTGCTCTTTATCTCCATTGCATCCTCCCATCTCTCTCTTCCTTCACTTTCCGTCTCTGTCCACATGTGCATCTCTGTCCGTTCCCTCACCCCATTCCCTATGCTGTTTCCTTCTCTACCTAATAATCTCTCTCCTATACTTTCTCGTCTTCGCTTGTGCTCGCTCTCTCTCTCTCTCTCTCTCTCTCTCTCTCTCTCTCCCCATCTCCTCTGTCCCCTCTAAAACTGTGTGAACTCTTTGACTTGGGCTAGCTCAGATCTTATAAGAGGGAAAGCCACGGGTGCTTCTCTAAAATACTCTTTGGGCTCCAAGTCTCCGGCATAAGTCCACTTCAGCTCCGTGACCAATCCGGTTTCTCTTAAGGACACCACGTCGCTTTCTAGTGGCGGTCCCAAAGTGCCACCACGATCCCCGCTCTTAGAGGAAGCCTAAAATCCCGGCAGGAAGCGGCACTCTCTTTTAAGGAAATGTGAAGTGTAGCTATTTTAGGAGGGTTGCTTTTTTAGGAGATTGTCCAATCGATAGGACCCTGCCGCCACCAGTTTGTGTGAGAAGCCTATTATTTGAAAGTCGATGAGGGCGTGTTTTTTGGTTCCTTTCTCCCTCCGTCCTCTTTTTCAGAGTGATTGCTTTTTTTTGCTTTTGTAGAAAACAGAACTTCAGGAGAGTGCAGAAAGTGTTGCGTAAGACTTTGTTGAAGAGAAAAGTGAGAGAATGTGATTTCAAAGTGCCTTTGATCAAAGGCGGCAAAATGAATGGCATTCAAAAGTATTAGAGTAGATAGAGGGTTCAACAGAGTTCACATTTAAGCCAACAGCTTGTTCATGCTAATATGCTGTCTAAAACTTTCCACTAAACTGAACAATAAAACTACAAAATAGACGACCATGAAATGTTGAAATTAATTACTATGAACCCTCCCTCAGCTAGGATATGAACCGTGATGGTTTATTACTAGCTTACTCATTCAATATCCAGACTTTGTGTCTACCTCTATGGTCACAGCACTAAACTCTCCAAATGAAATGTCAAAGGCCAAGCTGGCTGAGCGCTTGAGATATTAATGCATTAAACAAATACATAATATCACCATTAACTCACCCAGCCCACATGCTGCCCTAACATGCCCTTTGCTTTTTAGCTCTGATTAAATGGAAAATGTCAGCCAATGAAGAAACACTTTAGGAACACTGTTTGGTTAAATTGGAGGTCAGGACAGAACCGAGGAGGACAGTGTTTTTAGTGAATGTGGAACATTTCAATGTTTTTTTTTATTGGCGGGTGAGCTTTTTCTAGGGAGCACAGTGTTAGAAAACAGTGATTTAAAGGGAGAGAATATATTTTTGAAGTGTTTAGGAGCAGTCTTTATGGGGGACCGATCTGTTTGATGGGTTAGCTCTTTGAGAGAACCTTGTGTAAAGGGATATTGTTTGTGTGATTGTGTTGTCTGAGATCTCCTGAAGCCACTTTGGACTAAGACGGAGTCATCGTTCACTATCAACATTTCTCACTCCTTCCTCTCTCTCCATCTCCTCTCGTCCAAGGTGATCAAAGCCATAGAGGATGGCTTCCGCCTGCCCGCCCCTATGAACTGTCCACCCCACCTCCACCAGCTGATGTTGGACTGTTGGCAGAAGGAGAGAACGGAGAGACCTACCTTCAGCCAGATCCACTCAGCTCTCAGCAAGAGCATCCGCAGCCCTGACGGCATCGGCTCCTCCACACTGGCACGCAGGTAGGAAATAGGCCACTTCAAACCATGCTTAACATGGGCTAAACATGGGTCAACATACAGGGTAACAGCTAACAGACTCTGCTAGCCAACATGGGCCAACATCAGTATGGTTTGTTTATGTCGTCCAAGCAGGTCTCCCACTTCCCACTCAGTTTTGATATCAGAGTAGAAATACTACCGCTTATGATAACAATAGACTCATGCATCCCTTCCTGAAATCTCTCTCTCCCTGATCGCTCTCTCTCTCTTCTTCAATCTGTAGAACCCTCCCTCAGCGAGGAACCCTCCCGCTAGGCTCCTCCATCTCCCTGGCAGAGCGGACTCTTCCCTCGTTCCCCGCTTTTAACTCAGTAGGGGAGTGGTTGGATGCGGTGGACATGGGGCGCTACAAGGACAACTTCACCGCATCAGGATACTGCTACCTGGAGTCTGTGGCCCGTATGACAGTCCAGTGAGTGGCTCTAAATGAGCGTGTGTGTGTGTGTGTGTGTGTGCGTGTGCGAGTAAGCGTTAATACATAAACAAGTATGTGTTTGCCTTGCTTTTTGTGCATCTGAATATCATGAGTTGGTATAGTCTAACTGATGTCTTTGTGTTGTGGTCTTCTCCACAGAGATGTGTTGAGTCTAGGCATCACCTCTCTGGAGCACCAGAAACAGATCCTGTCTGCCATCCAGACCCTTAGAGCCCAGGTCATCCAGATGCACGGCAGAGGGGTGCAGGTCTAACACACACACACACATAAATACATACACATACGTGCCGACAGACGGACGGACGGCTGGATAGAAGGATTTTCACAGAGGAGAGACTCGTCTCTCATGCAGATGGACGGAATGAAGTGGATAGAGAGATCGGCAGAGATATCGCCACACTGCACCCACTCACTCTTCCTCCTCTTCCCCCTCCTCCCTCTCTTAAGTCCTTGGGAGCAAGGTATCTTCCAGTCGTGATCAACGTACTCTGTCGGAAGTCACATGACTTCTGTCTGCACGCTGACGCGAATCGACTAGATGTCCACTCTGACAACTGGCCTTGGATCAAGGGTTAAAGAGACTTAAAACTACCCTGATAGAGAAGTACTGTCCATCTAAAACGTCTGGCACTCTGCCACTGCTCTCAAAATATGGGGTAATAATATTTCCTTGATGGAGAAGAACTGTCCCCTCAAGCGGAGTGATACTCTACTCTACTGAACCACTGGTCTCAGAACTGAGGTTAAAACAACCCTGGTTGAGAAGTACTGTCCATTACAGGGCTGCCCCTCTACCACTGGTCTCAGAACAGTGGGATAAGGCACTAATGGAGAAAGTGCTGTCTGTCGAACAGGGCTGAAATTGTAAAACTGGTCTCAGTTCAATGGTTAAAAACGTCCTATTCCGGCCGCTGAAGTGCGATCAAGTGACTGGTTCCCACAGTGTGGGCGGAGCCCAGGCCGTGTCATGTCGTACGTAGCCCGACCAATCACGAGGCTGGAAAAAGACTTACCTTCAGAAAGAAACTACTGATCTAAAACTAGAAAACTGTAAATCGAAACAAAGGATTTACATGTGTTTGAGTGTTAATTTCTATTTAGTCTGTTACATTTATCTTTTTTCTAAAGTTTTTCCGTTAACTGTCTCTGCTCTCCCGGTGTTTTCTTAGTGTGTGGAATGGCTAATGTCCCTTAGCCGGGATGTCAGTGGTATCATGTAGCGTCTCGCTAATATATTTATCTTGTCTAAAAAGCATTTTCACTACAAGGGTATATTGCACTGTTAAAAATAAAGGTCAAGTCTCAAGCTGACGTATCTAATATTTATTCATTTTTATTTATGCGTTTACGGTTTACAGACTCTCACACAACCTCCTGACGGGAAGAGGTTACGAGGGTCAAATAGACATACTTGATTTAATAATTTAATAAATAATTTAATTTTGTGTTTAAGGATGCGGCAAAGCACATGTCCTTTGGTGTCAAGCATATCCCTTCCCAGCAGTTGTTTGTTTTGATTACATTGTATATCATGAAGTTTTCTTTTTTTATAGTTAGAGGGATTCTGTTACTGAATAAAGGTGTTCTGTACTGAAGAAGATATTATGAAGAGGACTTACACTATACTGTTTGATTCTCATAGACAGGGGTATTGAATAATTTTGATACTGTCAACAAATCTACAGTAGTTGATATAGGACTTATACAGTCGTGGTCAAAAGTTTTGAGAATGACACAAGTATTGGTCTTCACAATGTTTGCTGCTTCAGTGTTATGAGATATTTTTGTCAGATGTTGCTATGGTATACTGAAGTATAATTACAAGCATTCCATAAGTGTCAAAGGCTTTTATTGACAATTACATTAAGTTTATGCAAAGTGTCAATATTTGCAGTGTTGACCCTTCTTTTTCAAGACCTCTGCAATCCGCCCTGGCATGCTCTCAATTAACTTCTGGGCCACATCCTGACTGATGGCAGCCCATTCTTGCGTAATCAATGCTTGGAGTTTGTCAGAATTTGTGGGTTTTTGTTTGTCCACCCGCCTCTTGAGGATCGACCACAAGTTCTCAATGGGATTAAGGTCTGGAGAGTTTCCTGGCCATGGACCCAAAATGTCGATGTTTTGTTCCCCGAGCCACTTAGTTATCACTTTTGCCTTGTGGCAAGGTTCTCCATCATGCTGGAAAAGGCGTTGGTCGTCACCAAACTGTTCTTGGATGGTTGGGAGAAGTTGCTCTCGGAGGATGTGTTGGTACCATTCTTTATTCATGGCTGTGTTCTTAGGCAAAATTGTGAGTGAGCCCACTCCCTTGGCTGAGAAGCAACCCCACACATGAATGGTCTCAGGATGCTTTACTGTTGGCATGACACAGGACTGATGATAGCGCTCACCTTGTCTTCTCTGGACAAGGTGTTTTCCGGATGCCCCAAACAATCGGAAAGGGGATTCATCAGAGAAAATGACTTTACCCCAGTCCTCAGCAGTCCAATCCCTGTACCTTTTGCAGAATATCAGTCTGTCCCTGATGTTTTTCCTGGAGAGAAGTGGCTTCTTTGCTGCCCTTCTTGACACCAGGCCATCCTCCAAAAGTCTTCGCCTCACTGTGCGTGCAGTTGCACTCACACCTGCCTGCTGCCATTCCTGAGCAAGCTCTGCACTGGTGGTGCCCCGATCCCGCAGCTGAATCAACTTTAGGAGACGGTCCTGGCGCTTGCTGGACTTTCTTTGGCGCCCTGACGCCTTCCTCACAACAGTTGAACCTCTCTCCTTGAAGCTCTTGATGATCCGATAAATGGTTGATTTAGGTGCAATCTTACTAGCAGCAATATCCTTGCCTGTGAAGCCCTTTTTGTGCAAAGCAATGATGACGGCACATGTTTCCTTGCAGGTATCAAATCAAATCAAATCAAATCAAATTTTATTGGTCACATGCGCCGAATACAACAGGTGCAGACATTACAGTGAAATGCTTACTTACAGCCCTTAACCAACAGTGCATTTATTTTAAACAAAAAAAGTAAGAATAAAACAACAACAAAAAAAGTGTTGAGAAAAAAAGAGCAGAAGTCAAATAAAGTGACAGTAGGGAGGCTATATATACAGTAAAATAAAGTGACAGTAGGGAGGCTATATATACAGGGGGGTACCGTTGCAGAGTCAATGTGCGGGGGCACCGGCTAGTTGAGGTAGTTGAGGTAATATGTACATGTGGGTAGAGTTAAAGTGACTATGCATAAATACTTAACAGAGTAGCAGCAGCGTAAAAAGGATGGGGTGGGGGGGCAGTGCAAATAGTCTGGGTAGCCATGATTAGCTGTTCAGGAGTCTTATGGCTTGGGGGTAGAAGCTGTTGAGAAGTCTTTTGGACCTAGACTTGGCACTCCGGTACCGCTTGCCGTGCGGTAGCAGAGAGAACAGACTATGACTAGGGTGGCTGGAGTCTTTGACAATTTTGAGGGCCTTCCTCTGACACCGCCTGGTATAGAGGTCCTGGATGGCAGGGAGCTTTGCCCCAGTGATGTACTGGGCCGTACGCACTATCCTCTGTAGTGCCTTGCGGTCAGAGGCCAAGCAGTTGCCTTACCAGGCGGTGATGCAACCAGTCAGGATGCTCTCGATGGTGCAGCTGTAGAATTTTTTGAGGATGGTAACCATGGTTAACAGAGGAAGAACAATGATTTCAAGCACCACCCTCCTTTTAAAGCTTCCAGTATGTTATTCTAACTCAATCAGCATGACAGAGTGATCTCCAGCCTTGTCCTCGTCAACACTCTCACCTGTGTTAACAAGAGAATCACTGACATGATGGCAGCTGGTCCTTTTGTGGCAGGGCTGAAATGCAGTGGAAATGTTTTTTGGGGATTAAGTTCATTTTCATGGCAAAGAGGGACTTTGCAATTAATTGCAATTCATCTGATCACTCTTCATGACATTCTGGAGTATATGCAAATTGCCATCATCAAAACTGAGGCAGCAGACTTTGTGAAAATTAGTATTTGTGTCATTCTCAAAACTTTTGACCACGACTGTACATTTTGAGTCCAGTGTAGCTGGATGTATGGTATCAATGTGTTGCATTATATATGCAGTATTGCAGTATTTCAGAATGTCGTAGAGTGATAATTTATGTTTTGTTTTTTTCGGCTCAGCAATTCAAGCTGTCATGCATAGGGCCCTGTGTTTTGGTTAATCATGTCACATGACCTGGATTTTAACCTTTTGTTTAAAGCTTTTTCATCAAACTGTCCCCCTTTCTTTTTATGTCAGATGGTCCAGCACCACCATCAGAATATTACTTTAATTTTTGGTCTAATTTTCATTTCTGGAAAATGTTTAAAATTAAGGTCTTAACCTTAATTTTAAGCATTTTCCAGAAATGAGAATTACATCCAAAAATTAACCAAACACAGGGCCCTAGCTATACAACATGGTTGCACACTTACCATATTCTAAATGTTCCTACAAATCCCACAACCCCCCACTGTGCAGTCACAAGCCCCTCCCATTGGTCAGTATTATGTAATTTTTCAAAACCGGTAACATTTAATTGTAGGTAACATGTTTTGGGGCATTTTTTATTTCAATAATACTCATGTAGCCTAGCTACAGTGCATTCGGAAAGTATTCAGATCCCTCCTCATTTTGTTACGTTACAGCCTTACTCTAAAATTGATTACATTATTTTTTCCCCTCATCAGTCATGTCCAATCACACAATACCCCATAATGACAAAGCGAAAACAGGTTTTCAGGTTTATAGACATTTTTGCTAATGTATAAAAAATAAAAAATATACCTTATTTACATAAGTATTCAGACCCTTTGCTATGAGACTCGAAATTGAGCTCAGGTGCATCCTGTTTCCATTGATCATCCTTGAGTTGTTTCTACAACTTGATTGGAATCCACCTGTGGTAAATTCAATTGATTGGACATGATTTGGAAAGGCACACACCTGTCTATATAAGGTCCCACAGTTGACAGTGCATGTCAGAGCAAAAACCAAGCCATGAGGTCGAAGGATTTGTCCGTAGAACTCCGAGACAGGATTGTGTCGAGGCACAGACCTGGGGAAGGATACCAAAACATTTATGCAGCATTGAAAGTCCCCAAGAACACAGTGGCCTCCATCATTCTTAAATGGAAAAAGTTTGGAACCACCAGGACTCTTCCTAGAGCGTGCCGCCCGGGCCAAACTGCGCAATCGGAGGAGAAGGGCCTTGGTCAGGAAGATGACCAAGAACCCGATGGTCACTCTGACAGAGCTCCAGAGTTCCTCTGTGGAGATGGGAGAACCTTCCAGAAGGACAACCATCTCTACAGCACTCCACCAATCAGGCCTTCATGGTAGTGGCCAGACGGAAGCCACTCCTCAGTAAAATGCACATGACAGTCAGCTTGGCGTTTGCCAAACGGCACCTAAAGGACACTCAGACCATGAGA